CACACACACACACACACGGTAACTATTTAAAATGATGGATATATTAGTATCCATTTCACTATGTATACGTACACCAAAACATGCTGTATACCTTTAATACATACAATACAAAAATACATTATATTGGGAGGCCGAGGCGGGTGGATCATGAGGTCAAGAGATTGAGACCATCCTGGTCAACATGGTGAAACCCCGTCTCTACTAAAAATACAAAAAAATTAGCCGGGCATGGTGGCGCATGCCTGTAATCCCAGCTACTCAGGAGGCTGAGGCGGGCGAATTGACTGAACCCAGGAGGCGGAGGTTGCGGTGAGCCGAGATCGCGCCATTGCACTCCAGCCTGGGTAACAAGAGCGAAACTCCGTCTCAAAAAAAAAATACATTATATAAAAGGAAAAAAAAAATGTATTGAGCTACAATCCAATAGGAGGCTGGAAATCCAGTATCTTTGTCCTGTATCTCCAAGAATTTTTGCCAGAACCTGGGGTGGGAAGAACTTACACTCTCCAGGATATCTCTTGCTTTGAGTCTCTGCCATGGATGAATTTCTCACCTCTTCCTTCTTACCTCCTACAAACTGCTCTCTTCTTTCCACTCCCCTGACCAAGACTGACATGGTCTTCAAAGTACTGCTGATACAAGGTGCCCTGTCTAGGAGATATTTAATTTATTTAATTGGATATTTTTTGCTAATAGTTGGAGATGACACAGGAAGCAAAGTAGACAGGAACCTGAGATGAACTATTAGACATCATGATCCCAACAATCCATCAAACATTTCCTGGCACTGGGAATTTCTCACTGGCTCTATCTGTGCTGAAGACTTAGCTTTCTGCATCTTCTCCACCTCCCTGGATGTCTCCTGTCCTCTTCATTTGCCAGCCTTGAACTCGAGCATTCTACTGTCTTTCAAGTACAGAGTGTTCTAAATTTCCACTCTCCCCAAACTAGTACCCCAAGCTAATCCCTAGCCTATTTTACACATCCAAATATTTAATTCAGGTGGCCTGCTGAAAAAGGGCCCCCATTCCAAGTCTGTCCCCTTAGCATCACAATGCATTCAGTGTGTGGGCATTATTCGATTTATTTTTGAAATGGAGTCTTACTGTGTTGTCCAGGCTGCAGTGCAGTGGCACGATCTCAGCTCACTGCAACCTCTGCTCCCTGGGTTCAAGTTATTCTCCTGCCTCAGCCTCTGGAGTAGCTGGGATTACAGGCACTCAGCACTACCCCTGGCTAATTTTTGTAATTTTAGTAGGGACAGGGTTTCACTGTGTTGGCCAGGCTGGTCTTGAACTCCTGACCTCAAGTGATCCACCTGCCTTGGTCCCTCAGTGCTGGGAATACAGATGTGAGCCACCTCACCCAGCTTGCATTATTGGTTTTTACTAGTAGCATTGCCAATGGGTGACAAAATAGGATTGGTAGAAGGGAGGCAGTTAAGGATGTTTTTTCCTGTTCTTTCTTTATATTTCTTTATGGTTTGCATTTTATTTGATGAGTGTATATTGGTTTATTAATTTAAACATTGTTAAAGCAAAAATGTTTAAAGTGCCCTTTATAAACAAATTATATTTTTCCCCAGTTCTTTGGACAAGGTCCAGTCTTTAAATAGGAGTTTCTTCCACAGTGACCTTCTAAACAGAAGAGGAGCAGCATAAGGATTTATTCTCTTCCTGTCCAGAGCAAGGCAGGTCTTTTGTTTATGCCAGTTTTCCCAACTACCACATGAGAAGTCATAGACTGTATCTTAATTATCTTTCTGGTGAAAGAAAAAAATTGTGCTTCAATGGAAAATTACCCATTGTCTAAAGCATGCTCTTCTAGGTTATTGAATGCTAGCCTTTCAATGTGTCAAGTCATTTGACAACTCTGTAAGTTATAGATAACTGATAGCACAGTAAAATAACTCCTGACTGTAGACATGAAACATTCTGTAGAGGTTCAATTCTGTACAATAGAAGTTCCCCACTGTGGAAGAGGCCAGTTTTACCCCCAGTTGTATATTCAATCTGTAACCGTCCCAGGGGTTTTTCTTGCCCACTGCCCAGATAGAACCTATTTATTGAGATAAGGGAAAAGCAACAAGAGTTTAATATGTGTAGAGTGGAATAAACAGGCTAGAGTTTTATTACTACTCCAATCAGTCTCTCTGAGTATTCGGAGGCTAGGGCTTTTTAAAGATAGTTTGGCAGGCACAGGGCTAGGGACTATGGAATGCTGATTGGCTGGGTTGCAGAAGAAATCATATAGGGTCAAAGCTATATGTCCCTCTTGTGCTGAGCCAGTTTCTGGGGTGGGGGCTGGGAGGACATGAGAACAAATGAGCCTGTTTGAGTCTGAGTGGCACCAGTTTGCTCATCAGAATGCAAAGTTTGAAAAATATCTCAAACACCAATCTTACGTTTTATAAAAAAAAAAAAACAAAAATGCTATCTGGCCAGGTGCGGTGGCTCACGCCTATAATCCCAGCACTTTTGGAGGCGGAGGCGGGTGGATCACCTGAGGTCAGGAGTTCTAGATCAGCCTGACCAACATGGAGAAATCCAGTCTCTACTAAAAATACAAAATTAGCCAGGCGTGGTGGTGCATGCAATAATAAGCAAGAAGAAGGCTTATTTCAGAAAGGGACTTATATTATCTTTGTTTTAAAGTTAAAATAAAAGTGAATTCCTCCCAAAGTTAGATAGCACTATGCCCAGGAGTGAAGAAGGGCATCTTGGAGGTTAAAAGCAAGATGGAGTTGGTTAGGTTAGATTTCTTCCATCATTGTATTAGTCCATTTTCGCAATGCTATAAAGAATTGCCTGAGGTTGGGTAATTTTTGAAGAGGTTTAATTGACTCATAGTTCCACATGGCTTAGGAGGCCTCAGGAAACTTATGATCATGTCAGGAGGTGAAGGGAAGGCAACACACATCTTACATGGTGGCAGATGAGAGAGAGAGAGAGAGAGAAAGAGAAGGGGTTCAGAAGAAACTGACACTTAAAAACCATCAGATCTCAGGAGAACTCCCTCAATATCAGACCAGCCTGGGGGGAACTGCCCCATAATCCAATCACCTCCCACCAGACTCCTCCCTCCACACAGGGGGATTACAATTGGAGATGAGATTTGGGACATATAGCCAAACCATATCAATCATCATCATTTTCCTCTGTCAGATTTTTCTGTCATAATTTTTACAAAAGTGGTCTCCATTTCAGTATCTCTTCCCTATGCTGAGTCTATTATTTACATTCCCCTTTGAACTCGTGATAAAGTGTTGCCAGTTCATTTATTAGTAAGTTAAATATATTATTTAACATGTTTTCACTTTACGTCTGTATAATAGTCATGATTTCACCTTTTTGGAAAGTTTGAAAATAATCCTTTAAGAGTTTCTTCGTTGCCTAGTACAAGGAGCAATGTGTGGCTAGGAGCAATAAATATGTGTTAAATGAATGACTGAGAATGAATACAAGAAAAACAGGAATGTATAAGCTCATTGCCATCAATACACCATCAGTCCAAGTGTGCGCATTAACTTCCTACCTAATGTCAATGTTTAACTTGAATTTTGCCCAAGCCATATTCTTTTTTTTCTAATTATATGTTAAGAATATTAACCAACCCATAATCTGTCTCCAGAGTAGCTACTATTAATTTCTGATTTATTTCCTTCTGGTGTTTTCTTGGCATCTGTTCACTTAAGAATTTATGATGTACCTGCTATGTGTCAGCCAGTGGCAGCTATAGCAATGAAGAAGGCAGACCAGGACCCTGACCTCTTGGAGCTGACATTCTAATTGGTGGGAGGGGAGAAAGACAAATAATTGAACAAGACAAGAGCAGTTGATAAAGAGAGCATGCATGCCTCTCAATGCTTATTTTCGATCAGTTTATGTGAACTGCAGAATCAGTTTTAAGTCACATATCTTTTAAGAACATCCTATGCTCATGAGCATCAGTATGGAATTTGATGTTGCCATCAGCATCTGACGCTCCCAATGCCACCTGTCTCTTCTGCCCCGCTACATGCTAAAAGCAAGTCTATGACACTGAAGGTGGTCATCCGTCAAGGTCAAAAGCTCTGCTGCTCTGAAATGATTCTGAGACTCAGAATAGGGCTTTCAGTTTTAGCATGTTTCCCGGGGCAGCAAAGAGTAATTTTTCTCTTAGACTAGCAAACAAGAAAGGCATTCCCAAGCTGTGGGGCAGTGCTCTTCCAGGGAAAGGGGGCTACCATATGGAGAAAGTGAAACAATTATGGCACAAGAGAGGGTGGGGAACTAAGGTAGCTTGATTTGACATTTTCTGTTGAAAAAGAGGTACTCTGGCAGGTATGCCACACACGTGGTGAAAAATCAGTTTCCTGGCATCTAGACTTTGTACGTCTTTTTTCTTGTCAGAATGTTTTATTGCCAATTAATGGTTCTGCAACTCGTGATCTTTTATCAATTTTAACAATCTTATCTGAGAATATATACCTTGTAGATGACTGTATTTGTGTGTTTGTGTTTGCATGTATGTGTGTATGCGTGTGAATTTGTGTATGTGTGTGTGTGTATATATACATTTTAGGCTAGTTCCCACATAGGAACTTTGCTCTAAGATTGAAAAGAAAGTCCAAAAAATCCAACACACACACATACGTATTTACAATTGTTTCAAAGGCTCACATCTAATTAATTCTAAACTATAGCTTAGTATTAATTGCAATGAATTTCCTATGAACCCGATTCATGAGTTACTTCTATGAACTGGGACTTGAGATACATGACTCTATTTTATATACATATAAATACATGACTCTATTTTATATATATTATATTATATATAAATATAAATATATAAATAATATATAATATAAAAGATTATATATATCTATAATATATTATAAATATAATTTATATATTTTATATATAAATTATATTTATAATATAAATATATAATATATTATATATAATACATATATGATATTTTGTATATTATATATATTATATATATAAAACCTTTCATATGATTAGAGGCACCAGTAGTGTCATCTGTAATTTCTGCCTCTCTCTCCGCTCACTTTCTCTCTCCTGTTCTGTTTCTTCCTGTTTGATTGTGAGGTGTCAGATTTTCTTTTCCCTAGTGGCAATAGAACAATGTCTTAATTCAGACATCTGAAAAAAATGCAAAAGGGCTTTCCAGATGTAGGCCTTTGAGAGATACTGCATTTTGATCTTAGAATAAGTCTTATTCTGTCTCTCTCTTGATATATATATACACACACACACACACACACACACACACATACAGACATGCAGACACACACACACACACACACACACACACTTTATTATTCCTCCTTTATATATTTCCAGGGGTAAGTTTCAGTTCCTTTCATCCCAATGATGGTTACTGATCTATAATATGTTTCAGACACGTTATCTAACATATTGGTTAAGGCCTACTCAGTGTCTGTGTCCACAGGGCCCTGGGGTAACATGAGCTAAAAAACAGACCACTTGCCTGGCAAAGTCTTAGGCGGTATTACTGGATCAAGCACAACCGTGAGTGGCTTTCTCCAATAATCTCTTGCTATCAAGGTTCTTCCACTCCCTAACTGCCCAGGTGAACACCATCAGGACCACTCACTAAATGCATTTGCAGCCTTCCCTCCTTTATCCAACAGATTCTCACCCTCATAACCTCAGGCAGGATAGGTTTCCAACTCAGACTTGTATGGTAGCTATATTCAGTCAGATAAACTCTGACCTTGACACCTCTTTCCCAAACCTCTTGAATTTCTATGCCTCAAAGGAGAAACACCTGTCTTTCATCTTGCCTGCCTTTAAACTTTGTTCCTCCAAAGGTTATGACAGTGTCCAAGGCCTGCAGGCGGATTATTAAATAGGTGACTCTTAAGATGATCCATGAAAGGACGAAAAGGACAATTATATGCACCCCATCTCTTCTAAGCCATTTTTGTCTGGAGAGCTTGGGCAGAGACTTTGGGGAGGTGAGAGGTTTGAACTTTTCTGTACAAATCAACCAATGATTTTATTTTATTGCTAAACCTCCTGCAGAATTTATATCCTTTCTCTCTGTGTGTAAACATGTATCTCAACTGCTTGGGAGATTGACGTGGGAGGATCACTTGATCTCAGGAATTCAAAGCTGCAGTGAGCTGTGATTGCACCTGAGATCAGTCACTGCACAGTGGCCTGGACAACATGGCAAGACCCCATCTATAAATTTTAAAAAATCATACCACAACTGTCTCTAAGCCCTCTGTGTACAGGGTTTACCTATCATTTATGTGGATTCTTAGATCTGAGAATGTCATGGTCATTTGATCAACGTATATTTGTTTTTCGATAGCTATTGGTAGGAATTAGAGTATCTCTTTATGATATGCAGTTGTTTTAAATCTACTAGTGCTTGTTAAAATAGGATTCAAGCTGCAGTAGGTGAAACCCCTCCTAGTTAGGAAGCTCCATCAAGAGACTATAGTTGATGACTGAATTCATTTATTCATTCTGCAAACATTTATTTTCTCCTAGGTGTGAGGGGGACTATGCTTGGGATGGGAATGAGCCAGACACGATAATAAGAAATGCTTCCTCTCAAAGGATACATAGTAAGATACGTGAGCAATGCATTTAAAGAAGTGATAAATCTGAAATGGATTGAAATGCCAAGTTATTGCTCAAACAAGGAAGCAAATAATTGTGCGTGACAGATGAAGAAACACAGGAAGGAATCTCACTATTCCCACTGGATACAGTGGCTCAAGCCTGTAATCCCAGCACTTTGGGACGCTCGGGTGGATGGATCACTTGAGATCAAGAGTTTGAGACCAGTGTGGCCAACATGGTGAAACGCTGCCTCTATTAAAAAAAAAAAAAATTAGCCAGGTGTCGTGGTGCATGCGTGCAATCCCAACTACTCAGGAGGCTGAGGCAGGAGAATTGCTTGAACCTAGGAGGCAGAGGTTGCAATGAGCTGAGATTATGCCACTGTATGCCAGCCTGGGCAACAGAGCGAGAGTCCGTCACAAAATAAAATACAAAACAAACCAAACAAAACCCACCATTCCTAGCACGGTGATAGTTCAGGCTATATTTGCCTGGGAATAACAACGTAACTTTACCTTAAAAGAAGATAGAAGTACTATTCTCACTTTCAGGAAATTGTCCAGTGACAGTCTACAGTTGTGAGGGATGCTTCATGAACATAACTCCTTCTGTCTTTCTACACCATCATCCTCAGCAATGGCTTCCACCTAGTTATTTAACATGGCTGCTTGATGTCCAACCATCAAGACTGCATTCTGATTAGCAAGAAGGGGCCCAAATCAGGGAAACACACAGAGCAGAAAACTGATCAGAGAGAAGAAACTGGAGGGAAGGAGGGCCTGAATGCATCTGAAGTCAGAGAAAAGATCCAGGAAATCAGAGAGGCAGGAAGCATGTAGCAAATAAGAAATCTTAGTACCAGAACTATCTTGATACAGACATATTTAAACAAACACACGTGGGCGCATTAGTTCAGGCCTGTAATCTCGGCACTTTGGGAGGCCACGGTGGGCGGATCACCTGAGGTCAGGAGTTTGAGATCAGCCTGGCCAGCGTGGTAAAACCCTGTCTCTACTAAAAAGACAAAAATGAGCCAGGTGTGGTGATAGGCGACTATAATCCCAGCTACTTGGGAGGATGAGGCGGGAGAATCGCTTGAACCTAGTTGGTGGAGGTTGCAGTCAGCAGAGATCTCTTGATTGCACTCCAGCCTGGGCGACAAGAGTGAAACTCTGTCTCTAAATCAATCAATAAATGATTCACTTTGGTCATTATAAGGTGGGGTAGGTTCAATAATAGTTAAAGGAAAAGGATGTTACAAAATTACTTTATTTGCAGGAAAAGAAAAAGAAAATCCCATACACTATTCCTAAATCAGCTCCATCAGCAGCCAGGCCTTTCAAAACATATCTGGAATGTATCAGGTCTCCTTCTCCCCATCTCTGCTGAGCTCACCCTGGTCCAAGCCACCATGACTTCTCACTGAGATTACTTCAACAGCCTCCTGAAGGATTTCACTACTTTCACACTCATCTCTTATAGCATATCCTGCACATACATAGCAACCAGAGTAATTCTGTAAAAAACATAAACCACGCCAATATTATTCACTTGCTTAAAACTGTCCAATGGCTTCCCATTTATCCTAGAACAAAATGAAAACTCATTAACAAGCCTTGCAAGGTGAATCTCTACCTCCTGACGGCTTTTATTTCCTCTCTTCCATTTACAAACTAAGCTTCTAAAATCTAAAATTCCTACCTCAGGGCCTTCTGTATGAGCTGTGCTCTCTTCCTGGAAGCTTTTAGATTTTTGTGTAGCTGGTTTCTTCTTGTCATTCAGATGTTAAATTTCACTTTCTCATCCATTAGCAAGTGGCCACTATTTCAATCTATTTTAATATAATTGATTAAAAAAAACATTCTTCTCTATTTTTTGTTTCTCCTCCTTATCTTCTGTTTTCTTCCATGCAGATGACACTTGAGAGCAGGGATCTTATCTCTTGTTCACCACTATATTCTTGCTTAGAGCCTAGTACATTGCTTCGAATATAGTAGGTGCTCAATAAATATTTGTGGGTCAAATAGATGTATGTTCCTTAGATTGCAGGCTAGGTGTGATGGTTAATTTTATGTGTCAACTTAACTGGGTTAAGGAATGCCCAGATATTTGGTTAAACATGACTTCTGGGTTTGTCTGGGAGAGTTTCTGCCTGAGATTAACGTTTGATTCAGTAGACTGAGTAAAGTAGCTGTCAGCCACCAATATGGGTGGGTATTGTCCAATCCACTGAGGGCTTGAATAGAAAAAAAAAGATGAAGGGCAGATCAGCGATCTCTGCCTGAACACTTGAGCTGAAACTTTGATCTTCTCCTGACTTCAATGCTCCTAGTTCTCAAACAGACAAACTGAAACTGGAATCTATACCATCTGCTTTCTGCCTCTCAGGCCTTAGAACTATACCATGGGCTTTCTGGGTCTTCTATTTACAGATAGCAGTTTATGGGACTTCCCAGCCTTCATAATTCCCTGAACCACTACCTTATAATAAATCTCTTTTAAATATCTTCTATTATTTCTTTCTCTGAAGACCCCTAATACACCCATCTTCCTTTGGGAAATAAGAGGTTTTTTTGCACAGACTATTGTTTTTTAAAGTTATTGCAAGTGGAACGTGGAGTGAGGCATGCGACTTACAAAGACACTACTTCCTAGGATTACTGGCATTCAGCTGTTCCTGCCTGAGTGACAATTATTCCCTCCAAGTCTAGTCAAAGCTATTGATCTCTGAGTGTGGCGCAGGTTCCACAGCCCCAGAAGCAGCTGTAATTAACTGCTTGAGCCTTGAAAAGATTTTCTGAGCAAAATCATAGCAACTGACATTTGTAAACAGTAGTTAGATGGAAGGAAAGGTAAAATTGTGTATGTCATCCTGTTTTTATCATACACATTTTAAGGTTCAAAGGAATGATATTAAAATGAATATCCCAGTGTTCCCTTTCACACCTGCCTTGAAAAAAGTGAAGAAAAATATTTAAAATATAGTGGGTACTTCTCTCTATAAACTAACACCAGGGATATTTGAGGAGTAAAAGAATCATGCCAGGGAGACCCATTTTTCACCTGTCAACCACGCTCAAATGAGTACCCTGTGAGACATCTTCTAGAAACTAGTGCATCTAACTCTCACAATAATTTAGAAGCTATATATTGCCAGTCTTACCTTCCAGAAGAGGGAAAACTGAAACTCAGAAGTAACATGCAGTCAAGTCATTCATTCATTCATTCAAGAAATATTTATTAAGTATCTACTATATAGCAGAGGCTATGCCAGGCACTGAATTTTTCATGATGAGTAAAACAGATAACTTTAAAATATTTATTCTTGGTCAGGCACAGTGGCTCACACCTGTAAACTCAGTATTTGGGGAGGCTGAGGTGAGTGGATCACATGAGGTCAGGAGTTCAAGACCAACTTAGCTAAGAGGGTAAAACCCCATCTCTCCGAAAAATACAAACATTATCTGAGTGTAGTGGCTGCTGCCTGTAGTCCCAACGACTCCAGAGGCTGAGGTATGAGAATTGCGCAAACTCAGGAGGTGGAGAGAGGTTGCACTGAGTCAAGATTATGCCACTGCAGTCCAGCCTGGGTGACAGAGCGAGACTCCATTGCAAAAAAAAAAAATTTAAAAAAAGCTAGGTTCAGTGGCTCATGCCTATAATTCCAGCACTCTCATAGGTTGAGGAGCTGAGGTCACAAGTTCAAGACCAGCCTGACCAACATGGAGAAACCCTATATCTACTTTAAAAAATACAAAATATTAGCCGGCATGGTGGCCCATGTCTGTAATTCCAGCTACTCGGGAGGCTGAGGCAGGAGAATCGCTTGAACCCAGGAGGCAGAGGTTGTGGTGAGCTGAGATCACACCATTGCACTCCAGCCTGGGCAACGAGATCAGAATTCTGTCTCAAAAAGAAAGAAAAAAAAATTCTGAATTATCTCAGACATACTAACAATGTGTTAAAAGAAAAGTTTAAGTATCTAGGAACCCAGTAAATAGCCAAATAGATAAAATATTACCAATACAATTGAAGGCCCTCGGGTACCCCACTCCAGTTGCAACCCTCCCCTTTCCCTTAGGGATGAACACTACTGTAACTTGCGTGTTTGTCATCCTTGGGCATTTCTTGGATTATAGTTCATTTTTATCTTCTTTTTGCATGCCTACATCTTTGAAACATCCTGCCGTGAATATGTATTTCTTTCAAGAAATAAAAGCTGTAAAAGTTATTATTTTTTACAGATCCAACAGTGATAGTGGAAATCTGCAATGAAAAAGAAAAAAAAAAAGGCCCTTCAAGAACTTGCAGCCAGTGGCCCTCCTTTGTCTTGTTCGGTCTTTTGACGCCAGCAGCCTCAGCTGTCTCTCCTGACACCTCTCCAAAGACCTAGATAACCCCTGGCCAGAAAGACTCCTTTTCAGGTCCTCTTGTCTCCTAAAAATATTTAAAACACAGTGTTTGTTGACGCCTGAAGCTGGGGTTGTCAGGCTCCTGATGGGAACTTGTCCTTGATCTCTTGCTACTTTGTGGACACCCACGTTCTTCCAGTCGACACTGACCAAGGGCAAAGAAGATCAAATGTTCAATCCCAGCAGCAGGGAAGAAAGTCATCTGAATGCATTTCCAATACAAAAGCTGAAATTAGACTGAAACTTCACCTTGCATTTTTTATGATGTGTGTCTTAGTCAACTTCTGTGTTTGCAAAGACAAAGGGAATTAATATTTAATATGGCTACAGTGGAAGGAGAGGGGAATAATCCATTCTCTGCAGTGTTTTTGAACCTTCAATTGTCTTAAAATATCAGCCTTTAATCTCTTGATTATGAGATAGACTGTTCTATTTCTCAATGCTGTTGGGCAGTAACTATTTTATTCTTGGACTCAGACAGAACTGAGTTTTAGCTCCAGCTCTGTCATTTATGTACTATGTGACCATGGGTTTCAGTTTTCTCTTGTAAGAAACAGGATAATACTTACCTCACAAGGGTGCATTAAGAATTCAGCAAAATAGTCTTGGGCCACCAGATTAAAAAAAAAACAGATTCTGAACCCTACAAACCCAAACAGACTATTGCCAATTTGCTTCCTGGGGGATGGGGATGGGGAGTCTATATACGTTATAGCAAGGGTAAAATAAATCTCTTTCATGTAGACAGGCTGGTGTAGAAAAGGAAGAGTCCCAATGTTAAAGTTTGTACTTGACCTTCTGTGCTGCTTAGGGGCTGAAGCTCAGAATATTTGAGACTTGGCCTTAACAGAGCTATTTCTTGTGTTTAGGAGTATGAAGATAGGTTGTTCTGCCTAACATGGGAGGGCCTCAGGGTGAAGGAACCTCAGAGAACAGAGGAGGTAGTCTTACAGGAAAGAGACAGCTGATCAACAAGGCAATGTGGAGCCCAGCCAACAGAAGGCTGAATTGAGCTGAGATTTCCCAGTTCATCTGGACCCCTGGTGTCTGTTTTTTTCCACTGCAGTCTTACCTTTGTGAAACTAAAATATTTGAGGCAGCTCTCAACTCAGAAAGTTCATTTAGCTGAGGTTAAGGACGCACTGTGACAGAGCCTCAGGACGTTCTGATGACATGTGCCCAAGGTGGTCAGGGTACAGCTTCTTTTTATACATTTTAGGGAGATGTGAGACACCAATCAATATGTGCAAGGTGTATATCGGTTTGGTCCAATTAGACAGGTGGGACAACTGTAAGGGGAGGGGCTTCCAGGTCAGAGGTAAATAAGAGTCAACAGGTTGCATTCTTTCAAGTCCTTGATCAGCCTTTCACTGAATATGCAATGTAGTCAGTGAATCTGCATTTTTACCTAAACAATGAGGCCAAGAAAGCAATCAGATATACATTTGTCTCAGGTGTGCAGAGGGATGACTTCCTGTCCTGCACCTGGAAGTCTATCAATTTACATTGCCAGAGTGAAATTCAACAGAAATGTCTTAGGGTAAAGATCTTGAGACCCACAACAAATTTCCTTGTGGACAAACTGTGAGGGAGGTATGTAGCTCTTTTTATCTTTTTAGCTGTCTTATTTAGGAACAAAATGGGAGGCAGGTTTGCCTGACATAGTTTCCAGCTTGACTTTTCCCTTGGCTTAGTGATTTCGGGGTCGAAAGATTTATTTTCCTTTTGTACTTTCTACACACACACACCCCATCTTGCATCCTTTGTCCCACTGCCTGAAATTTTTTGAAACACAATTCGAATTTTATGTCCTTTGTATTACTAATTTCTCTGTCTGGGGAGGGCTCATCTCTTTCTCCCACGTCTCCCTCTGTAAAAATTTCAACCAGCTGGAAGCCCAGCTCAAATGACAGCAGGCTTTTGAAGCTTCCCTGCTCCCCGGCTACATCTACCCTTCCCCTATTTGCTTCGGCCCACCTGTCTCCAGAATACCACCCGCACATAGTTGGTACTATCAGGGCCAAGAGAAAACTTCCCCTTCAACCTCTGAAGGTTTGTTGACTGACAATTATGAATAAGAGGCAGATTAACAAGACAAAAGCACAAGTTAACTTTATCACAGGTTTTTTTTTTTTTGAGACGAGTCTCAGAGTCTGGCTCTGTCACCAGGCTGGAGTGTAGTGGCAAGATCTTGACTCACCTCACTGCAACGACTGCCTCGTAGGTTCAAGCAAGTCTCTCACCTCAGCCTCTCAAGTAGCTGGGGTTATAGGCACGTGACACCACACCCAACTAAGTTTTGTATTTTTAGTAGAGATGGAGTTTCACCATGTTGGCCAGGATGGTCTTGATCTCCTTACCTTGTGATCTGCCTGTCTCAGCCTCTCAAACTGCTGAGATTACATGCGTGAGCCACCATGCCCGGCCACTTTATCATAGTTTTATGTGATATGGGAGGCTTCAGAATGAAGACTCAAATATACAGGGGAATTGTCCACTTTTATGCTTAGGTTCAGCAAAGGATAGACAGCCATATAGAAATACGATTGAAAGGACAGAAATAATACAAAAACTAGAATGTAACAAAAGCCCACCAAGACTTTTGCCTGGCCTTTCCTGGGCCTTGAAGCAAAACAAGATAAGAAAGGAACTCTTAACAGGACCCGTTTAGGATTAAACAAGTTTTATTGGGGGTATGTAGAAACTCCCCAGACCTCCACAAACAAGTTTACTGGGGGTCTGAAGGAAGTCCCCAAACCTCCATGATTTAACAGGAGACAAGATAAGGGTAATCACCCCAGCATCTGGACCCATTTAGATTAAGTAAATTTACTGAGGCTCCAGAGGAAGGTCTTCAAAACTCAGATCTTGAGCAGGTTAAAATTAATCACTTACATCTTTAGATGAATGCACACTTACATATAAACATATAGCTTAGGGTACAAGCTATGGGAAACTGTAATTGGAGTTGGTCTGGCGCTAATTTCCAGGCCTTCTCCCTATAACTGGTTACAGAAATAAAAACTCCCTCTCCCAGGTCATCTGCATCTCCTTATGCGGCCCAGAGAATAAGCAGCCCGATCCTCGATTTTGTCCGGGAGCAATTCTGGTAGCGAAGCCAGTTTGATACACACTGAACCATTATATGGAAAAGAGGCTTGTAAACTGTTAAGTGATTGTCAAATGCTAACTTCTATGATGGTTGTCGTTTTCACCTCCTATCACTAACCTGCATCCAGAGTTAGCTGACAGGTGATATGTGCAGGAGAACCCCCCACACTTAAAAGGAAAACATACTTACTTTTGTTGGTGGTGGAAGAGATCCGAGTTGCCCCGAGTACCAGACTATCCTTTCGGGTCGGGTCCGCAGAACTTCAGTCTGTGCCTCTTCAGAAGAAAGAGATGGACTTAGGGGCATAAGGCAGAAAAAGAGATTGAGGTAAGCTCCAGAACAGGAATGGAAGTTTATTTTTAAAAGTCTTACAAACAGGAAAGAAAAGCCTTACAACAGGAAAGGGTCTCTTACGCTTGGAAGAGACCCAAGCCGGCACGTGCAGGTTAAACCAGGATCTTAGGGCTTTTTTTTTTTTTTTTTGAGACCCCTCTGTGGGGAGCGGGGAGTGCAGTGGCGTCATCTCAGCTTAACGCAGTCTCCGCCTCGGGTTAAGCGATTCTCCTGCCTCAGCCTTCCGAATAGTTGGGATTACAGGCGCCCGTCACCACACCCAGCTAATTTGCGTATGTTTAGTAGAGATGGGGTCTTACCATGCTGGCCAGGATGGTTCCGATTTCCTGGCCTCCTGATACGCCCACAGCGACCTCCCAAAATGCTGGGATAACAGGTGTACGCCACGGAGCCTGGCCGAACCTAGGCCTTTTATAAACTCGCCCCTTTCCCATAATTCCTCCCTTAGGATGGGCTTTCCGCATGCGCAGTGCTTTCTGTAACCGTTAGAATTGAGCATGTGCAATTGGGGGTTGTATACGTGCCCATCTGAGGCTTTTTCCTTTCTCTGGTGGAGTATATGGACGATGCAGGCTGGTGTGCAGTGACTCACTGCACCTTGGCTCACTGCAACCTCCGTCTCCCAGGTTCAAGCAATTCTCCTGTCTCAGCCTCCCCAGTAGCTGGGATTACAGGCGGCAGCCACCACGCCAGGCTAATTTTTTGTATTTTTAGTAGAGTCGGAGTTTCACCATGTTGGCCAGGCTGGTCTGGAACTCCTGACCTCAACTCCTGATCCGCCCGCCTTGGCCTCCCAAAAGCCATTTTTGCCTGGTAACACCCATGCCCAGGAAGTTGCTTCTCCCTGGGGTCTGCACTTAATTAACATTTTGATGTTAATAGGTGTGGACCATCAGGAAATTGCCTCTTCCTGATTTGAGAGAAGCAAGGCGTTGCGGGACCAACACCTGACATTCGTAGTAGGGTTGAGGGGCACAGAGAGCCCTCTCCTGCCCTGCTCATGCATAACTACTTTAACAATTAACACTGCTGTCTCTATATTCAAATACTTAATAAATTTTTAACAAGAAGCCCCACGTTTCCATTTTACTGCAAATTATTTCGTTGGTCCTGGATATAAGGAAAGACACATTACAATGAAACGAGTTGAAAATTGGAATTCCTTATGCCTGCATATAGCACTTGATAGAACTACAAACCGTGTCCCCATAGATTAACTCAGTAATATTTTGCATCAACCTTGTGAAATGGATATTTTCATATCCGGTGTTCAGATGAAGAAATTAAGTGCCTGGAAGCACTTGAGTGACATAATTAAGGATCGCAAAAGAAGCTGGTGGTAAAGCTTAGAGCCTTTCCCCCACAGTAATAGTTGGTTCAGTAGTGTACAGATTCTTGGGACCCCTGAATTAGACCCTCCAAGACAGAAACCTGGGAATTAGCATTTAAAATAAGCATCCCATGTGATTTTTTTTTTTATCATCAATGACGTTTGGAAAACTTTGGTTTACAGTAATTACCAAACTCATTCATTCCCAACTTAACTGCTGAACTTCTTTAAAAATTCAGATTTTAAGGTTCTGCTCTGAGATGCTGAATCTGCATCCCTAAGGCAAGGGAAACTTTTCAGTTCATTGCACAGGCCATCTGGAAGTTCTTCCTGGGTTTGAAAGAAATGACATCGATGCCTGATTTGGACTCTGGCCTGTCAATCTCTCAATGACAGCCATCTACTCCTATTCTTTCTAATCATAAAGACTTACAATTTGCCTCTGGGCAACTGGCTTCTGGAGGGTCTCTGGATTTCCTAAAAAAGACAAAGACAGAATCCATATGCTTATGGAGAAATTTATCTTTATAAAGTTCAAGAAAAGGGCAGAGACAGTGAAATCTGTTGATGCCCCACTTTTTAGAATCTTATATTCTTTATGCTAACCTTTTCTACAAATCTGGATCTAAGTCAAGTATCTATCTCACTTTTGAAAATCCCAAGTTGGCTACCTTTTACAGATGAAGGAGGGTTGTAGGTTCTCATTATGGTCTTCCAGGATTCCGGGCAAGGCAAATCTAAGAAATTAACAGGGATGTTCTAAAACAGTCAGCTTCCCCAAAGGAAGGACAATAGTAAAGACTGAAGCAAACAGGACATAGAAAAAAGAATAGCGAATGTCTGAAGGCAATGTTTCTCCAACCTGGGGATCTGGTTAAAATGCAGATTCTGGCTCAGCAGGCCTGGAGTGGGACCAAGACACTGAATTTCTAACAAGCTTCCAGGGGCGCTTAAGCTGCTGGTGCACAAATCAGTCTTAGAGGAATGAAGTCTTAAAACGTTCTGTCTTAAGATGACTGACAAGCTCCTGGCAGTGAATGGGTGATAAAAAAATTCGCACCATTTCTCTTGTCCAGATAATAAATTTCATGTCATTTGTAAAACACTAATTGCCTTAATGCATACTAGCCCATCTTGTTAGCATCTATACTACAGTCCTGATTAGCTGTGTTAATGACAACTAGTGTTTGTTTAAAAAATATTCTTTTTTTTTTTTTAAGATAGGGTTTCACCATGTTGGTCAGGCTGGTCTTGAACTCCCGACCTCAGGTGATCCGCCTGCCTTGGCCTCCAAAATGCTTGGTTTACAGGCGTGAGCCACCATGCCCAGCCCTTAAAAAATATTCTTAACATGCATGGAAACAAAATGAAGCATCAAGGAAAACAATCCCTGCACTGATTCTTTGTGATTCTTTGGTCTCATGGTCCAGAGTTGGGGAACAAACATTTCAAAAAACAAAAGAAAATCTCCACGTATATGTGTCAGGAAATTGTGGGGAATAGGGAGAAAGACTCGAGGTAGAGGCTAAAGTGAAGTTGCTCTCAGAATTTATTTTTATCCAGCCTGTCTGGTTAATTGGCTCTCAGATGGACATACTTGGATCTGAGCTTGGAAAGAAGTCAGCTTTGAAGGTCCTGCCTCCCCAGGTGATGGTAAGAATTATGCAGCTAGAGTAAGTGCCTTAGCTTATTAACTTATTCTTTGAACATTCAACCAGTATTTACTGAGTGCCTATTATGTGCTAAGTAGTAGCACACAGTGAATGAGGCAGATGAAATTCTTGTCTTCATAGATCTTAAGGTCTAGCAGGGTAGACAGACATGAATCAATGAAACAAATAAATGAGCAGAAGGATATCATGGGTGCAGAGGGCATCCTACTCAGAGCCTCTTTGTTGGTGTATCCTTCCCCCAGTTTTGCCTGACAGCTCACATTTACATCCTTATGTAAAGGTGTGCCATTGGACAATTGGGGTGGCCTCAAAGTTTCTGTCCCAGTCTCCAGGGCAGCCCTCAGTTGAGTGACTCACTATGCAACAATACAACAGACAAGCTCCCTTTCACAAGGCAGGACAGACTCTGTGGAGCACTTTACGCTCTGGAGCTGCCAGAAGGAGAAAAGAGGACGTCATCTGAAGTACATCTTTGCCTGGCTTTTCTCATGTGCTGTCCTACCTCTCTCAGTCCCTTACAAGTTTCTATTGAGAGCATTCCCTTAGTAAGTCAATTAATTGCACAAGAATCCTCAGGCTCTGCTTCTAAAGAATCTGGCCTGAGATACAAGAAACTTGATAGTGATCAGGGATATAAGGAAATAAAACAAGGGAGGTATGATTGCAGATGACTAGGAAAGAAGATCAGGGATCAAGGAAGACCATTTGGAGGAGGAAGTATTTGAGCTAAGAACTGAACGAGATCTGAATGGCAAGGGAGACCTGGGGAGAAGCATTTTAAGCAGAAGGAATAGATAGTATAGAGACCTTTGAAAGAAATGAACTGGGCATGTTTGAAGGCCTGGAAAACAGCCAGAGTATGAAGTGCAACAGATGATGGGAGAATGGAAGGAGACATGGTCAGAGGAGCAGCAGCAGTGCCCTACTTTGTGAGCTTGGGAAAGGATTTAGATTGCATTCCAAATGCCATTGTAAAAAGGTAAGACCTCATTGGGTTTTAATAAGATCACTCTGAATGCTCTGTGGGGCTTAGATTCTAATTTATTGCCTGGAAATAATAGTTGCTAAATAAATAATAGCTCAATCAGCAGCTCAATTACCACCTTTCGTAAGTGTCTCAGCAAAGATTTGTGCATTAGGAAGTAAATTTGACATGATTATCCCCCAAGGGATATTTGAAATAAATTACAGTTCCCTGATTCAGTGACCCCTGATGCTAGCACTCCTGCTGCCACCTGACTCATCTGCTAGGACTTTTTTGCTATTATTGTTGTTTCACTTTTTGGAAAAATTGAAAAGGCATAGATTTGAGCACATAGTCATTTCTTTGAAATACACTTCGTTGCCTTTTTTCTTTTGTTTACTTTTAATATAGGAAGATGAGACATAGTCTTCTGGAAACTGGGCGTGCACCTGGCTTCTTAGAATGAGAGGCAGGAACCTCCTACAGAAGAGAGCGTCTTTGAAATTAGTAAAGCCCTGGCAGTGAGTGTGATAGATAAGGTCCTAGCATGGGTACTGGTGGTCTAAATTCTAGTGAGTGTGATAGATAAGGTCCTAGCATGGGTACTGGTGGTCTAAATTCTAGTCTTGACTCTTACAGAACTGAGTGACTTTGGGGAAATGATATGGTTTGGCTGTATCCCCACCCAAATCTCACCTTGAATTGTAATAATCCCACGTGTCAAGGGCCAGGTGGAGATGATTGAATCATGGGAGCAGTTTTCCCCAAACTGTTCTCATGGTAGGGAATAAGTCTCATGATATCTGATGGTTTTATACATGGTAATTCCCCTGTGCAAACTCTCTTGCCTGCCACCATGTAAGATGTGACTCTGCTCCTCATTTGCCTTCTGCCATGATTGTGAGGCCTCCCCAGCCCTGAGGAACTGTGAGTCCATTAAACGTTTTTCCTTCATAAAGTACCCAGTCTCTTCTGGGCATGGTGGCTCACGCCTGTAATCCCAGCACTCTGGGAGGCCGAGGCAGGTGGATCACCTGAGGTCGGGAGTTTCTGACCAGCCTGGCCAACATGGTGAAACCCTGTCTCTGCTAAAAAATACAAAAAAATTAGCTGGGTGTGGTGGTGGGTGCCTGTAATCCCAGCTATTCAGGAGGCAGAGGCAGGAGAATTGCTTCAACCTAGGAGGTAGAGGTTGCAGGAAGCTGAGATCACACTATTGTACTCCAGCCTGGGCGACAGAGCAAGACTCCATCTCAAAATAAATAAGTAAATAAATACATAATAAAAATAAATTATGCAGTCTCAGGCATATCTTTATTAGCAGCATGACAAAGGACTCATACAGGAAGTGACTTGTCATCTCTGGGCTTTCATGGCTGTCCTGTGATGTTTGTGTCTCTCACAGACACCTTCTTACACCATTGTCGAGAAATGGGCTTTTTGCTTTGTTTAGTCTATCTCACTTTCCTTCCTTGGCAAGG